GGTCAAGCAATCAAAAGCAGGAACAAACCAAAATGGCTGCCGCCAAGACTTAGTATAAAGTAAAACAACATAAGTGCAGTTCGGGAAGAAACATGGGGAATTAGTGAAGGTGTGGTAAAAACGAAACTATAATAAAATACAAATATTAACAATTCAAATGTAGTCAAAAAGTTAACAATGTACAACTAAAAGAACCAATAGGAACAAAGTGTAAGTATATACATGGAGGGATTTTCACAAACACACAAAACACTCAAAAATGGATCTTACAGGCTCGACTGCCTATACTTATGATTTGCATGCTTGATTGTGTCGATCATATTACGTAATTGTCAAGTCATGACAATGCTTTATGACGATATCCTGAAACCATTATGTTTAACTAGTTATAGCTTTGATCGAGGAGTAGTCACTTGATAATGGATATTGTTGTTTTAGGTGCTTCTGAAATAGCAGAAGTTTGCAGTGTTAAAGAATCCGAGCTGTCTACTAATATTATAGATTTCGATTCAAAAATATTGGTATACATACCGTTAATTTTAGTAGTAGGTTCCAGAGTTTTGATTTTAAATGTTTGTCTAGCTAACAGCTACCTGAGGGTTTAGTTATTATACTTGTACAGTATGCTAGTACCTAAATTCGGTGGCTTTATTATCTAAAATGTGTTCTTTTTAGGCTATTACTATGATAGACTAATTTATAAACCCAAATACGTATAACAATAATGGCTATAATAGATTTGTTGACAAATGTTAAAGGCGAATCATATGATTTTTAAATTTAAAAGACATAAAGATATAATCCAACTCATTTCTATTTGAAAATATTCTCATGAATGCGAAGGAACTATTACTAAACTAGATGGGAGGATTTTATTCGTTTGCTTTGTGTACGCGTTACTCCGGGATTAGCTCACATTTCTTTTATCGCAACTAATTAGGAAAACTGTGCTCAATTACTGTCAAACTATTCGTTCTAATCTAGACGAATATTCGTATAATTAGGAAAACGTTTTAAGCTCATGAAAATGAATGGCATTTCCTCGTAGACATCATCATACGTGGGCCAATATAAATGGATAATTAGCAATTCTATCTTAATTTTATGAAAATATTGCTGGTGTTGCTACACAACGTGCTAGCTTATCGTTAGTCTTTTCAGTAAAGTTCATCAGCTAAGTCCTGAGACAGTCCATACGAGGTAAATGGTCTCACGTTTACCACACACTGCGATATCATAAAAATTGTCTGAGAATATTTTCCTTTATATATAGTAACAAGGATAAGATTACTAGTATGTAAGAATTCAAGATATCTTGAAGTCTGATAGGGCGCTCTCTGAGCTTTAAACAACACTTACGTATCCATAAGCTGTTTGTGAATAATAAAAATATTCAACAAATGATAAGACGTTTTGGTGCTTTGGTTTGAAACAACAAATTTCAGGCATATTGATGCACCGACAAATGAGCCTGCCTGTGAATGGTAGGGACGAGGCTAGAATAAAGGCTTCTGGCATAAATGAATGCTTCCAGTCTGGGTTGAACATATATAGGAAAGCCACCACCATGTCCTTTCAGCCTTTCACTTTTTTGTCGACTGTGGCCGTCAAACGATCTGCTTCAATCCGATATATTACTGGGTGTCGATGCATCGGTTGGCATAATAAGTGATGGTTCGTGAAGAGATTTATGCAAGGCTAAACACGTCCTTTTATTAAAGACAAATCGATTGTTGATAGGATGTGCATTACCTAAACAGTCCACTAGGTTAAAATAGGTGGGACCACCTGGAATAGGGGAACATTTTTAGACTTTTGTGTGTGATATGGGGAAAGCAAGTGCTTGGAGATGCTTCGTTAGCCCATTTTGACAGTAACAAGAGTCTGAGTAAGATTCATAAAATGAATTAGTGGAGTTGCTTTGAGATTTTACTAACCAGGGTTGAATGGGTAAAATTGAGCACCAATGTTTTTCTTGTTATTTGAAACCAAGTGAACTAGATGCCTCACCACTGGTGCTATTGGAGTTTGTGTTACAAATGTATCTTGTACTGGATAACTGTTTCGTGCCGATATTCGTGGCATGGCATTGTTTGCAAAGTTCATGGCTTGAGCTATTACCGACTTACTAACTTACGCCTGCTACTCCCAGTGGAGCATAGGCCGCCGACCAGCATTCTCCAACCCACTCTGTGCTGGGCCTTCCTTTCTAGTTCTATCCAATTTCGTTCATTCTTCTCATGTCTGTCCCCGTTTCTCGGCGTTATGTGTTCTTTGGTCTTTCTTTTCTCTTTTGGCCTTGGGGATTGCAAGTGAGGGCTTGCCTTGTGATGCAGTTGGGCGCATTCCTCAATGTGTCCCATTCACTCCAAGTGCTTCTTGATTTCTTCCTTCGCTGGAATCTGGTTTATTGTCTCCTACAGTAGGTTGCCGTACTTGGGCCACAGTTGCTCACATTTATGTGCACTTCTTGACGAGCGGTTGTATGTAACTGAAAAGTGTTATTTCGTTTTATTCTCGGTTGCCATTTTTATAAGGTGGGCTGCGTTTGTTTATAACTTAAAATTTTGGTGTGTGAAAGGTGTGTCAATTTGATACTCATCACGTATTTGTATATCGATAGATTGACTTTGCTTATGCTTATTGTCAGTTTTGTTACTTAGAGAAGTTGAAGGTATATCACAGGGTACCTGAGGGAAGAATCTTCACTGTGGAATGGAAGCCGTGCAGAAATTATGTTAGGCTTCACTCGGTCCTTTAATAGATATCGGGGATTTAGTCTGTGCAAGCTTTTTCGCTAGGGCTGGGGAGTGTCATGGTGCATTTGAATGGTTCTGTGAAATGAAGTTAAGCGCAATCACGATATGTTGCATAATACACTTAGGCGAACCAGATTTTGCTCGAGCAGGTTAAACTTGTTGCGTATCAAGTGGGTCATATTCAATTAATTCAGCGTGGAAAAAGACCGGATTCAAATTGTGAATATATGTATATTTTACTGGAATCAGTTAGTCCGCATCTTATTTGAAGATCTATCCTCTATTGACCTACCTCACTCCACAGGATTATCTGTCGTTTGTTCATTCACGTCATGCTCACGACAAACATTTTTGATACTATTTACAGTATTAGCGATCGTCTTGAGTTGTTCGTTGTCTACAACATAGAAATGGAATCCTGAGGAAAGTATTCACACGGCTGCAAGAACTATTTGTGAGTATAGCACTAGTCGCATATTGACCGGATTAATGCTAAAGTCAATGATCACTAGTATGATAGGGATTTAAGAGATTAAATAATGTGTTTCGGTATGATGACATCGTCTAAGAAAAACTATCGACCTTTGGTACGGGTTATAAGAAATGACATAGAACACAAACCACATGACAAAGGTTGCAACTTTCATAGTTATTGAGATGTTCGGCACAAGAAATCACTACGAAATAAATTATTCTGTACGGTTAATTATGCTACATTTATTAGTTTAGTTTTAATAGTTCAGTACTTGATGTTGATAAACGTACTATCATATCATTGTAGGGAAATAATTCCAAGTTTACCATTAAATATGAGCTCAGGCGAAATCAAGCCGAAAGAATCTTCTGAATATTCGTGGTTCCCACTCTGTAACAGCAATAGTAATTAGAAAGTATGGATTTAAAAGGGTTAGTCAGGCATCTGAATGCAAAGTTTAGAACTAATTTATGGATACTTGTCCCGACATATAAATTCGGCCTCTCAAACAAAAGCTAAAATCGTCAGCATCACCACGACTCAGTGAATTAGGTCTATTATTATAGTAACGAAGATAAATGTACTAACACCAAACTGGACCATTAATCCACAACACCATATCTTGAAAATCCACTATGAGACTGCATGAGATGTTGACATAAATTATAAACCACAGTAATTTAAAAGTAGACAGAACAGGTCTGGATAGGAGCCATCTGACGACAAACGGACCCAGTATTTGGTAATTCATGCTGAATATAAGTAATTAAGGCTGAGGTGTACTTTCTGCCTAGAGGTACACGCCCGTGTGACGGATCGGTGCCCGGAAATGCATCGGGTTTATGGTGAAAAATCAAAACCTGTGGCTTTGAAACACGATGAGTTGTAGGGAGTGTCTTCAGGATCTCCCCTTAGGATAGTTTTATTATACGACATTTAAGTTGTTTACTACCATCCAAATCAAAACTAGGGTAGGATATACAAAAAGCACTCATTAAGGGCTACAAAAAGTGACAGCAAGTGACCAAGCTGTCGACTAACGGTAGCGCAACGATTGCCATATAATAACGTACGACATTAAGCCACCTATCAGTAAGACAAAGTGATGCAAGGCATATAAGTACCTCAACACCAAAACTAAAGGGAGAAGCGCTGCGCTCTAAGGCAAAGTTCCTCATATTACTTATGGGAATGGTGAAGAGTGAGATTTGTCTGGGAGTAAAAGCGTTTTTCAAAGGTGGAAGTGGCATGATTATTGCTTGGAACTAGACCTCTGTAAGATGCAAGTCAATGTGCATCACAAATGATCTGGAAAAGGCTACAAGGATGCAGTACGTAGGGTTTTAAAGGTCCCGTATTAAGCCAACAACTGAAGACACCACCATAACATCTGGTGATTGTCATAAATACAGAGACACCTAGGATTGTATCTATCAATCAGCTAGTTCAATAAGTCTGAAAACAATTATTCCGGTTCATCTAATAGTCGTAAACCTCAGAAGTTGAATACCCCCACATAGGCATTCGAAGGATGATACAATACGGAAGCTAAGACAGACAAATAACCTTGATGCGGTTACACGTGATGAAGACCCTGACAGAACATGAAGGGGGTAGACTAACGGCCGGTTCTTCTACAGAGTCAACCCTTAAGATTTAAACAACAGCTACGGGACTATAGAAGTAATGGCAGTTACGCTCTGTAATTCAAGAATATGACCACGAAGAAAGAACGATAATACTGAAGAAACGGCGATTTTTCTAGAATGTTATTGACAACAGAGTGAGTTCGTAAGGCAGAAGAATTGTATTAGATGAGACAAGGAACATAAACGAAAAATAGGGAAGCATTTCAGTAGTCACTTCGAACTCCGTGTGCTTACTCACATCCCTCTATTTTGACTACTTGCGTTGAGCTGGTACTGCTTTAGTCAAAAGGAAGGAACACTTGATGCGATAGAAGCAGGAGATACTAGCCTCCATGTATATTTCGACAGTTGCTTGGGATCAAAAAGTGAAGGAGTGTGAGGGTTGTAAGGAAACAGTAGTCATAGGTGGGGGGAGGTACAGTTTATAACTCGGTTATCTATAAGAGGAGAAACCCAACACAGTCGGTTGTGTCTTGATCCGATGGTGACATTAACAATATCTTCTGATTGTCGTGTCTATTAAAACTAACGAGGTTAGCGCCGATGTCAACTATTCACTAAATTCAGCCTTAACGAGTTACGTAACATCGCAAGACTAATATTAAACTCTTAGTTGGAATGATGGCATTAGACGGAAGCAGCAGCTCTTCCACGAGATTTTGATATCTATATGCTGGAAGTAGTAATAAATGATACGGAGTGGAGACCTAAAACAGACTGTGATTTTCAACCGACCGACTGCCCGGAGACGTGACAAGGTTTGGTTACAGTACACCCATTTTTCTGCGACAAAACCACTCACCTGACCTTAAAATGTACCGACCTCGTGTTGCATTCAAAGGGTTCAAATAGCCTCAATGGACGATATGAAAGATTTAAAATCACTCCCTAACCTCAAATTAACTGTTTTACATCATCCCATCACAAAAAATTAGATATTAGATACATATAGTCAGATCATGGACTTATAGATGCAATGATGAGACTCAGTGTTGACAAATTTGATTTTGTGAACAAAATATAAGATATAGGAAAGTATGAAGTCCTCTTTAGTGAATATCAAGATACGCACAAATCTTGTTTTACCGTGCTAAGCTGCGTGTTACTTTAACACCAGTCGGTGTTTTGGAAGTGTTGGACATGAATCTGTTCAGCTAGGTTAGTCCTTCTGAATTTTGTGAAATGGATTTCTCATTTCACCATTAAAGCAGGAAATAATCTTGTTGTTTAATGTTAGTTTTGCTAGTTAGTTTTTGTCCTCAGTATCATATTGACCACCGTAGATCCACAATTGCAACGGCACCATAGCAATGGAAACCATATGTATTGCCGACTGATTTAGGTATGCTTACTACCAGTAATTTAAATGTCGTGTTATTGGCACGAAAAATTTACAATTAGCCATCAGGAGTTAGACCACACAGTTATTTCTCGCTGACCTCGCGTTTTAGAACGCGAGCTCCAATTAAACAAGAATGGGAAATAGAGGCGAACTTTGGGGAAATACGGACGACACTAGCTAAGAAAACCTGGCGTCAACTCATGCGATATTAAAACTAAAAATAGCCTTGCTCTCCTACTCTGGGGAAATAATGAGGCTTTTCGCCTAATCTTGGAGCGATAAATCCATAAGTTCACACATTAGTGATCGCATGACTCCACCAAAACTTCAGATATCACCTACACTTACGATATACATATTCCAGTCGTGGCTTGAATATTCCGAAGTTTTGCCTTTGCTTCCCCATGAAAATGAACATTAGTGCGCATGCAAATTAACGCATAATATCAAATTTATTTCGATAATTGATGTTCAACAGAAATTACTATGGAAGTGATACGTCCCCTAACTGTCAAGTTCTATTGTCATCTGACATCTGACAAATAAAATGCATCGGTTTTAGTGAACAGTATCGATATTGAAGACGACAGTAATAAAGAACACGTACATTACATTATTGATTTATTAAAAAGATGCAAGAAAAGCACTCAGTTCGGTGTCTCATTAAACAATATTCCGTCAGTCGCCGTCCTGATCATTATAGACTGTATACTGAAATGTTTATCAAACTTCTCCATAACTGCATTTGTAATGAAGATATCCCAATCGCCCGGTGACCATAAATTATAACATGAAGTCGAGCTCACAGTAGTGTTGCACAAAATGCTCCGTTGTGTGTAGAAGCGCTTTTCTCATGGGAAAATGCGTTACGTCAAATTTCAAGTTGTTGATCATTCTGGACCAGTATGTGGTTGCTTCGTGTCTTATTTGAAACATGCAATGACAGTGCAATCTTAGCTACAATAAACGCATCTAATTACTCGTGGTGCATCTCAATGAATATAAATTTGTTCATTCAAATACAAGCCACATTTCTAATGAGATCAAAGCCTTTTGTTTGCCTACTCAATGAAGATATGTATTGAAATTCGAACGTGCAGTTGAGTTGATGACAATCGAATTCTTTAACTCTAAATGCGCCTAGTCTGTACTTACCGTGTAGAAATCTGATCACTTCACTAATTGCATCTGTTATTCTAACCTTTACTCCTTCTTGTGCCATGCTAGTCACAGGTCACTTAGAGTAAATGTTCTCTTTTACTCTAGGATCAGTGTTCCAAGCTGCTCTTTCCTCCTAGTTATCCTTTTGCTTTTATGACGTCCATTTCTACTACAAGGTTGTGTTAATTGTGCAAATAGATTACTGTATGTATGCTAGTTATCTTTTTCAGTTACTTTGATATGAACAAGTTCTTAGCACATTGGACAAGGGTACATTTTGAGCACTCTTACACTTAATCCCCTTAAGCGTCGGATATCATTTTGACACACTGTAACTAAATGAACACTTATTTAATCTCGTAACTCGCACATACTTGAATTTTCTGTCGTGATATCTAAGCTAATTCGCCACTTATGTAAGGTCACATGTGTTGGAAGTTAACAGTTTTAAAAGTCGCATCCTCACTATGAATATAACGTAATGGAAAATTCATATTTAGCTTCTGAGTACGTTTTTCCTACCTTTTTTCAACATCGTCTACTTACAAGAGGTAGTCTCGTGATATATATGGGAAGTTTCACATAGTAAACAGATTTTATTGGTACTGATTGTCAAGTCACATTCACAACTAATAAAATCATGACATTCTATTTGCAAATTTCATCTTAGATAGTAAAATAGATGTTATATACAATTAAGTATCTCTTTCAAGGTAGAAAGTGTCTTATTCGCCATAACTTGTTTTTGGAACTAATTGTGTTAAGTGTAGTGTAGCGGATATCTCGCCTACGCCAAAAGTAGTAACACAGGTCGGCGAAATACAGTCGGGCTTTTTGAATCCGTGTCAAGATTTCGGCAGACACCAGCTCATCAGGATTAGAGACTTCCAAGATGGGTGAAGCAGTCGATACACTTAACTAACTCACTTCCTATCATTAATTCAGGCGCTGACGTAAGCCAATTCGAAGCTACGTTTTACATTTGGAGGGCGAGTACCGTATCCTAAATAGCTTGGATTGTTACTTAAGCTGGTCAAGAGACTGCATTTTTTCAGCGTCTTGACCAAACAGAACTGTCTGCTTATTCCAAGACAACAAGTGAATCTGGTAGATCAATCCCTGAAGAGTCAGACAGTTATCTCTAAAAGCATGTTTATGACAAGGTTAAATAAAAATGAGGAAAGCGGGTAACTTTGATGAATACCACTTAAAGTAACCACTTCCGATGACAGATTTCCATGAGCTCTGACTGGACCAGTAGTAGTAGTGTTCGTGTTCAGAGCATGTACAAGGTTAATGTATCTCGGTACACCTTTCAATGACAGACACTACCACAGAAACTCACGATCAATGGGGTTGAGCGCTGTCTTAATGTCAGGGAATATAACTATAGTCAGTTGTACGTTAAAAAGTATGTCTATTCCAGAATCTGCTGAAGGGTGAATGTTTGGTCTATACAAACACGTCCAGGCTTGTAACCAGCCTGGTTGTCTCGGGTTTGCTCCATTTAGGCATTAAAGTATTATTGAGGTTAGTATTTTAGATATAGTAGTCAAACTAATTCCTCTGTAATTGTCACAAGAGGGGTTTTATTCTTTTCTTATCGATTGGGATGATCAGCTATTGATACCACTCATGGCTGACTTACTCCTTATCTAGTTGTTTCTAAAATATATTATTGACTTTTCCATCATTATATTGAACTCCAAGGAGTTTTCTTGCTGTGGCTTTTGTACGTCCAGTATGACCCAGACATGTATGTGCTTGTAGTTGAGCATTGTCTGAGTCTAAACATGTGCTCAAAAATGTGATGTAGTCTTCTATCGAGCTTCTCCAACGATGGCATTGCGGTCTATTAGAGTCCATCGGTGAGTCGACAATGGGGTTCGCCATGTCAGATGGTGTTCCTCCTTTTGCTTAAAGTTGGTTCTCGCTAGAAACAGACAGTCTTACGAACATAATTGAGACAGACGGTCACTATTATCTGTTCTCTAAGCCTCAACATCGTAAGGTCCACCTGGATATTGAATTCACTTGACACTTATTACACCTGAGCGTTTAACCTTTTAAAGGCGGTTGAAGAACCATACGTCTTCATATTATAGCAGTATTTGATTGAGGATTACGGTTCTCCATCTAAACTTCGTAGTATGATATTGCTTCAAATAATGTGCCATTGAAAGGCGTACTTTAGAAGTACATAAACCTTGTAAGGGCTCTCTACTCGAACACTACCTGTCAAATCAGAGCTTATGGCGAACTTTCATCTGATTTTACAGCCTCAAGTTGTGTCCGGCAAGGCTGTCCACTAGCTCCATTTTTGTTTAATTTCACTATATATTTACTTCTGGAGATAACGTTCTCGTTATCTAAATTTTCGGGAATTGATCTACCGAGAGGTCCACTTATCGAGTTAGAACACGCGGATGACATATTTCTATTTGGTAAATACGCTGATAAAATGCAGTCTTTTAGTATCACTGAGCAACAATGCTAGGATTTTTTGTATGCTTTTCTTTTCGTCTAAATGCAAATTGTTGCTTCAGAACTGGTCCCTGTCAACGCTTGAACTAAGGATAGGGAGTGAAGTAGTCGAACGCGTCGACAACTTCACTTATCTTGGAAGTCTGATCAGCCCTAATGGGTTGGTGTCTGAGGAAATCTCTGTACGGATTTAAAAAGCTCGTTTGGCTTCTGCCAAACTACGTCACCTATGGCGAAGGCGAGATATGGCCACGCGTATACAGCCGCTATCAGGAAGTCCTACTCACTGCTTCTCGTGGCAGGGATGTTGTTTACGAATTTGAGAGGACGAGAAGCGGGTTGGTGAATACGGAGGATACATCTAAGGGAGTTTGAAAACCCTGATTCCAAACCAGTGGTACGGATGGGCTCCAGTATTCTGATGGAGCAAATGGCGTATAAACCCATTATTGGTCACCGGCTACCATGGGACTGCATCTCCTTACGTTGCCCCACTGCCTTGTGCATCAGACCTTTGGCCAAAGGCTCCGGGTGTGGCTCCCAAAGAAAACCACCTGCTTCGATTTGGGCACCCAGATAGTATCATAGCTCACACACTAATCAAGTGGCTTGTGTGGCGCATATGTATTCGGTGCCCCTTTGTACCAATATTTATGTGATTAAATAAATAATAAATAAAAGTATTTGTTCACGGATGTCTTAGAAACACTGCCAGTATCTGCTTGGATCACCGGGTAAGGAATAATGAGGTTAGACACAGAGTATTAGGGAATGATGGTAAATCAGTCGATGAGGTTGTGAATCTCCATCGACTAAGATGGTCGGGCCATATATTACGCATGCCTAACCACCGATTACCAATGGTGACTAGTGTTGAAGACGGTTGGAAGAACGTTAGGGGCGGTCAAACCAAAACGTTGCATCAGTCCATAAAATCACTAACTTCTAATCTGAGCCATTTTGGCAGATGCAGACTATTTGGTTGGGGTCCGCGTGACTATCGTAACCTGTGGTTGGAGACTGGGTGACGGCTCAGAACCGGTCACAGTGGTGTAGGTGCATACACTCTTTGTCTTCCCTTACCTTTCTACGAATCAATCCTTTCTCCCTGTATTATGTTCTTATATGCAATCTTTCTTTTGTATATTATTACCATTGAAGTAATTGCTTCTAAGAATTTGGTGTTCATCTTGTGCCAATGAGGTATGGCAGCGTAGATTGATACATATATGTGCCTGGTCCTATATTGTAGATAACTGGCTGATTGAAGCAAGTTTACGGATTTGACTAGGTTAACCTACCTTAAAGTGACACTAGTTGTAAAGACTGCTATGATCTTTAGTCCATTCAGTTATAATTCAAGTTTATTTTCGTGCAGCAATGCGCTTTATGTGTGTAGGTTCTCGACGTAGTTACCGACTGTTAGTTCCCGTTCCTGGTGTCAAAATGTTACCTTATCCAAACACTTGTTTATGCTAAACATTTCTCTGTCCTAATTTGAACCTAGGTGATTATACAGAATGGTACATATTCGTACCAATTTGTAGGTTCTGCATGTATATTAATGCATAAGAAACCTGTTTAAACCGTTATCTTTTCTTTAAAAATGGCATTTGTATTTATCACTGTTTAAAGTCGGAAATAAGAACTAACTCCTAATATCTGATGAATAACTTTTCGGCTATATATCCTAGTCGTAACTATGTGCTTGTTTATCCATATATAACTGACATTAGAATTTTTTCGGTTACTTAAACAGCAAGTTGAAAAGGCTGACCACATCAGAATATTTACCAAATATTATAAACACAATAAAGTTGTATGTAAATAGCTGAATACTGATACTTTTAATAACATTAAATAATTATTCCTCTTGACCTACATAAACTACGCCTAGTATTTATTACGATATTCGTAGGTGAGATTTGTAGTTATCAGTAATGTCAATATCTGGTGTAAGCTTAATTCGTACAATTGAAGTTTTCTACTTATATTTCCTATTAAGATTGTTTTTGGTATACACACACTCAAGCAAAATAATTTAAAATTCACAGTTGCTGGTGCTAAAACAACTCAACTTTTCAGTATCATTCAGCAGTGTAACTACCAGGTTTTATTTAATTTACTTTCTCAGCGTTATAGTGTGTAAGAGTTCTTTCAAGTTGCCGGCTATTTTTTATTAATTTCCCAATTATTACTAGACTATTTGCGGCCGTTTTGTCTGGTATTAAGTTGAGATTTTCTTATATTCACTGATGACGAAAGTGGAGTTTCAGTGGTTCATCTTCCATTATATACGGGCTCAATAGATTTCCTACAGACTTGTAGAGCAGAAAAGTTGTAGTTTAAACTCATTGCAATCTTGTATTCGAAGGACTTAAACTAACATGGATTATTGATTATTAACATGCCTCTCTGTATTCAGTTCATGAGGTTTTAATCAATTTATTAGATAATACAACGTTCATTGTGTAACCCTAAGACTGACTGCTATATTTGGAGAGATTACGAGTTCTAAATTTGCGAACGGAACGAAGACTCAGAGACAGGACCCAAAAGCTAACTATAATATACAGTGATCCAAGCGACTTTCAAGCTCTTTACATATGTTTTTATACCATAGAGTGGATCATGGTGGATGTTCCCTTACTAACTCATATATCTGAAACTACAGACTGCAGCTCATCTTCCTGCCAGGCATCATCTGCTTCAGACGATTCTGTTCCTGAAGGCTATTTAATCTTGACATTCGATAAAAAGAAGAAAGCTGTTTTAAAAACCGCTGTGTTTGCAGATGTTTCGGATCCTAGATTTGCAGATGAGTGAGTCATTTAAAGTAAACTTTTTTTATCATTTACCAAATTTAGCCATCTTGTCATTTAGTGTAAAGACGTCAGTAGTTAATTTTGCGAACTATGTAGATGATTCATTTTATGAATCTAGTTCAGTTCTTAATCTACTGTTTACATAGCATCCGTTTTCTAATCTGGTTAATACAGGCTAAACTGTCGAATGCTAATAATCATATAATATGTCAGTATGACGTATTCATGTTTAAGCAGTATACCTTTTAACCAATATGCTATGGGTTCGATACCCACTTCGCCCGTTGAGATGTAGGAAGTGAATGCCATATTCTGGTCAGTATGAATCCATCATTTACAATATTTGGACAAACTTGAAAGTGGTTATTGATTTACATGTAACTATTTGTTTATTTAGTGACTTCAAAAAGTGGAAGGTAGGCGATATCGTACTAGTTAATTTGGGCTGGAAATGATTCATAGACCTTTTCATAAATACTTGCAAAAGGTACGAAGATAACTGACTATAAAGTTAATAAAGATAACCTAAATGTCTCTACAGTATTGCTAAAAAATTTTCCTAACCTTTTAGCTATTTGAGTGTGCAGTTATCAAAGTAATAGTTTTTACTTGCCTGAGAACTTCGCTCAAATATGTATCATCATTATGATCTTGCGATTTTTCGAGTCTGTGAGGAAACAAGTCATTATTTAGTATCTAATATATGAGCTCAATGTGGTTAACTGTTTCGACTATCCAAATCAACAACCATAAATGTCAAGAGTTATAAAGCGTTAAAAATGAAAATGCTGATAGTGTTATTTTTAAAGCTAAACATAGGAACGAAGTACATGGATCCCTATACAGTCTATCATAGAGCATGCAAGCTATCATATATTACAACTATCAATCAGTTGTAAACAACGAATTATAAGCTGTTACACTTCATATTCATAGGGCTAGAGGAGATTAATAAAGGTGAAAGCCAAAGAGTGAAAACAGCAACGGTAGTTAAAGACTAAACAGCTAATGCAGTCGAAAAGGAATGGATGAAATCGAGTTTAGAAATTGTGAGACAATAATTAAGCGATGTATAAAAGTTGAGGAATGGATGAATCTACACTGACTGGTGTGAACCACTTCATTTAGGGTTTCCGAGCTTATTTCACCATTTCCTTCCAAAATCCAGTCATCAAATTTAAACTGGCTGTAAAAACTTAAACGACAACCAATGACTTCGTGTATTGATGACACATCTTGGTTCCTTCCATAGTGCACCAGAGTACATGGTTGTTGGATATGTGTAAAATGTACACAAGTTTACTTAGTTAATGAACACTTAAAATCTTATCAAGATTTCCCCATACTTATTAACTGTCATACCTTTACAAGCTATTTGGTCCAACCTACATTGGTTTTTGACATATCTAAACACTCAATAGTCGCGCGCTTATAATCTCTTTAATCAATTTTCCATTATGTGTCTCAGTATCTCTCATTGGATAATTCTTCATGCCTCGACGAATATATATGAAACACTTGCCATTGAAACATCAGCATATTATTCAATTATAGTAATCACGTTGTAGTAGTGGACGAATTGATATTCACTCGATTTTACGTAGCTAACTGTATATCACATTTCAGTGTATAATAGTGTATTTAAGCTAGCGCTGACTCGACATATTGCATACATATCAGGATTTGCTTATCATTGACTGGATCATAATAGTTGGTGTGAATAATAAACTAGGTTGAGAATAGAACTTTTTGTCACTACTTGTCTCCGATTTAGAACAACGTTCTTAATCTGACGAATCAAAATCAAAATCCTACCCAATCGTTTTACGGGCGTCAGGAAAATGGAGCATTGATACGTATTTGCCCAATGTCTTTTTATGTGTCAATAATCTGCTCTTAAAAGCATCCACTAAAATCACTCTGAATTCAGAAAGCTCATCGGGTTGTAATCTTATATGTTCAGTATATGGCTTCTATTTTGAAGTCCCACGATAACACGTTTCTCACAATCGTTTAACGCTAGCCTTTGACTAAAACGACCTTCTATTTTGTTGTAAATTCTCAATCCATTTATTTAAAATATTATAGTTATTTGACGTTAATTGACAATTTGTAACTGCAGATGCGTTTTAAGTCCAATTATTTTTTTTCCAAGTTATGAAGATGATGATGAAGATGAAAGTAATGATAACTGTTGGCCACTTCATGAGTCCAAGTTAGCTGTTCACCAGCAGGAAAATGATGGCGTACTTGAAAATGAAGTTACTGACGCCAAAGGTTTTTTGTCGAAACCTCTTGTTATTTCTACGGATGCAGCTGACAAAACTTCCTCTTCATCTTATACTTCATGTTACGGCGAAGCCTTTTGGGTTGGTGAAGATGAGCTAAACGTAAAACAAAATACTACAAGTTCTTGGGATCTATCGCCTGGTAACAAAGTATCTCAAAGTTTAATACGTACTAGTCCTTTGACGTGTGATACTCATTCAGTAACTCCGACTTCAACTTTACAGTCATCTACTGAAAGCTGGTCTTTGAGCACACCTCAGTCAACAATAACTCGACTAACCGGCACTTTCCCTTATCGCAAAGCTACATATCCCATTAATCATCTTGCCAGAAAATACAACCATAACACGTTTTCATCTCACTTCCAGCCTAAATGGCCTAGAGCATTTAATGTCCATTTAGGTGATCATTCCAAAAAGATGCTCAGGTGTGACCAATGTGGCAAATATTACCGTAATGATTATAGCCTACATCATCATATTTGCTTAAAGCGCAAAGATGTGTGGAAGAAAGGTGATGTGCCTTCTGAAATGATTGATGGTCAAGTTATGTATTTTTGTCCCAGTTGCCGTAAACCTTTTAAATGGCTTGGTAACCTTACACGACATTTCTATGTGCATACAGGTCAAAGATTCTTTCGGTGTGATATTTGTTCTAAAGAATTTTTCTCTGCTTACCAAGTTAAAAGACATATGAATTCACATACAGGTGTCCGTTTCAAATGTGAAGTATGTGACAAACCTTTTACATGTAAATACGCCTGTGCTTGGCATACTAGACAACATTATGCTTATTCATTAAAATAATAAATTTTAAGAATTTCTCTCTGATTCTTCCAAATGGATTTTTAGCAACGAATATATACATACCTACACTTTGCTTTTTTACGTTTCAATGAAAGATATTCAAACATACACCTTGCACAATGATTTATTTTTTTACTAATAAAATTTCAATATTAGCCAATGTTTTTAATATCTTTCTTGTATTCAATATATATTATATCACATTAATAATTCACGTGCCTTAAGTTACGCTACATAATGCTCGCCACTAGCGTCTTGGATATTTTGATAACTTGTGAGTATATTTATTGATAATATACACTTACATCACACTTTCTAATCAACTGAGAGATTGCTCAATTCCCTCATGGTGTGTTTGTTACATCTCACTGATATTTAATTAAAACAGTATTCTTTTATATTATAATTTTGCCTCTTATAATAATTATCAACTGTGGCGGGTAATAAATACAAATACTGTGCTGTGACGAAGAAAACCTGTTTGCACCTCTTACTAGCCATTATAATAAACACAATCGTTGAGTATTTCTTTGTTTTTGTAACTATTTTTTTATATACATGTTTACACTGTTTTTGATAGAGTATCGTATTATGCAACAAAAAAAGTGAACAAACAAGCAATCTGACATAGGTGACCTCTCGTCAACACCTGTTCTTCCAAATATTCCTATCTTCTCTATCATTATTAGCTACTTTGGAATCTGTTGTGCCTTGCTTTATTCGGTTACAGTAGCTGTTTGCCTCTTTGTATGCACTTGGTTTTTATATATATTGCCTTTTTTCCTAATTATTATTATTATTACCATTTATTATTAACGATCTAAATTCAAGAATTTTTTTGTAGAAATTGGTGATTATTTTTTGCTTGGTTTCTTATTGTTATTCTGACAATTTTAATGAAAATAAAGTTTTTTTTTTAAAAAAAAGAAAGTGCACTCGTAACTGTTTTATGTGTAGTTAACATGTTTTATCTTGTTGTCTCCTTTCTATCCATCAAACTAACATTTTGAATATAAGTTGGTTATGTATAACGATACCATCTGTTGTTGATATAGAAAACAAGGTCAATGTAGAATAAGTCAAACTTCAATGTAACGGAGGAGAATATACGGTGATAATTATAACGATAATAGTGATATCATATACAGCAGCTCTATCTGCTTCTAGCCCCTCCCGTCAGCTATTCTGAAGACAAGTCTTATTAAGATTTATTGAACGAAACCAAAGAAGAATAAATTTACATCCAAGCTAATTCATTTACATAGTGATTCAGTGATTGTTAGTCACAGAGTTTTATTAACTGAGCAATTGTCAATGAATACGAAGTTATGGTGAAATAATGCAGGGAAAATGCATTGAGAATCAATGGACTAAATGCAGTGGAAGGTAATCAGTAAAATACGCTAAAAGTTGACTGAGCAAAGATCACTCCAAATTGATATACAAAATTAAGATTGATTTTTCCTCTCGTACATGGTGTGTCGGAGGTATAATATATTCAACGTCATCCTCTGTAGCGTAGGAGCGCGCGATTTCAAACCGTTACTTGTTATATTCAAACACAAAAATGTGGAAAATAGACTCGAATTTCTTTATGATTTTTAGTTTGGTATTAGCGTAACACTTGCTCACTCATCACTAGTGCACCATAAAATGGCTGTTTACCGAGGTCCTAGATCCTGGAAAAGTGAATATGAGTTAGTTTAATGAGTGAATATTTAACTTCAGTAGTCGTATTGTGATGCTGACCCATCTCCATAAACTCGTGTTTTCATTTACTGTAACTGCTTTTATGATAACTAAATCTACTATAAACTTGTTTTTGTTAGTGGATAGATACCCTTAAATATCGGTCTTTCAACTTATATATTCAATTCGAAAGTGTACCACCCGAAATGCCTCAAAACAGCAACTAATAACTGGTTTCGTGTTCTTATGGTACACATTTGTTCGGTCAGGTTTAGTCTTCTCCCAAATTCTATTCCTCTGTTAGCAGGTGTAGTGTTCCAGCGTTAACGGTTGGTTATTCAATATACCTAACGTGCAACTCATTCTTCTTAATTGATAAAACTTCACAGGCTCTTCAATCGATTTCAACTTTCTTCTTTCTATAATTCGTTAGTTATGTCCTTAAATAAATGATATGACCAATCAGATTTTACTTAGAACACCCACTCCTTTTGACTCAGTTGACATTGGTGCGTGGCCTGTCTTTTTTCGCACGTTAACTACAAATCGATTAGACATGCAAACAAGCAAATTTCTGGCTACTTTGTGTAGAATTCTAATGTTTGTTTCAGCAATGAGACTAAAAAGTCGACTTGAGCGTCAAGTCTTGATGTATGAGTAATATGGAAAATAGTGCTACCGTTTCCGAATTTTTTCAATAGTATTATCGACAATAAAAAAGTTGGGGCATAGACGATATAATTCGAGAAGATATGGGTCGGGATAAGAGAATTTTGTAAAATTAGGGGACTTATAATATAAGAGAATATATCTGCTCTATTGCGACCGATTCTAGATCATGTTACCTTTGGACTTTGGTGACTACGATAGTCGCGCGGAGCATAATCAGGTAGTCTGCAACCACCTACGTGGCTCAGTCCAATTTTCGATGACTTCATGGACTGGTCCAGCGTCTTGGTTTGACGACTAGTTTTCTTCCAACCCACTATACCAGAAAATACCCCCCTTGAGGTAGGCGGTAGTTGGGCATAGATAATAAATGTCTCAACCACCTCAGTGTTGAAGGTTTACTACCAACCTGCCATCCTTATCCAATGCCCTGTGTCTGACCACAGGACTGTTCATTCAGACCCACTCAGATTCATGTGTTCAACTTTTTGTGAGAGCTCGGGGAATTATAGGGCTCAGAAAAAGTTGGGTGGGGCGGAGTTCGATTATGCGACCTATTCATTGAAGGTTAAGTGGTCTAAGGACTAATTCGCCACTCCTTACATGTGGCGTAGAAAACATTCGAAATAATATTTGCTAGAATGCATTTTGTACGAAACTGTTCGAATAGAACAATCATATTATAGTCTATGTTAAAATATGTCCCACATTCAATTTCATTTGTATTTGTTGAAAAAGCCGAAATTCAAAAAGTATGGAAGATGCATAAAGGAGCAGACAAATATAGAATATAATGCATGAATATGGAAATCAACTATAGGGTAAGATAGCTGAACTAAGAGTCACTCAGTTTTTATAGTCAACAATGTATAATATGCATAGATGCATACATAGTAACAGGCGCACATAAAATCTGGAGAAAGTAGTTTATACGGATGAATAAATACGCGAAAATAAGTATACAATATCACGAAATACTTAGTCGAGTTAGACCAACACCTTTACTGGTCAGGCCAAAAAAATGCATAGAGGTGTGATGAAGGTTGCTACAGTATCTACCAATCGCAAAGAATTAATCCAAACACTGAAGTTGAACGTAATCTACATGTAGCAGCATTATCATTTTATAGTGTAGACAGTCAACCATTCACATACCAATAATAGCATTCGAACAATCAATGTATACAATAAAGCTTCCTCTTTCTAAAATTTTCTCCTATTCCTAATACCGATTATTCTTCTATCATTCGAGTACATAAATAAGTACTTTTGGAGAATGAGTTATTTATTATCATACAAGTATGAAATAACTAAGCAATACTTTCTTGTGTATAACAGTTTCTCAGTTAATATTATTCAGTCGTTATGGAGTCAAGAATATGTTCATTGATTGAAAAGCAAATGAATCATGTGTAAGGCAAATACAGTGAGTGTTGAATAATTTTAAATATACCTTCCCTATTCATGATGTGTGTCTAGTAGTGTTTCATCAACTGGAAATACTTAGATATATTTAAGAATACTGTTTAATCTTATATGTAGCGTGTGAAATAATTAGTCAGTATTAATTTATAAACGTTCATGCAAAAAGGGAAGTTACCTAACTACGAGTTATATATGTATTATAAGTCGTTTTTGTTGTTGTTGCTGTAATAACTGATCATTTCTATCTGTCTCTTTGGTAGTAAAAAGAACCAGATGAAATAATAACACATTTAAACATTAATTGTTAAATTATTTAAATCATAGTGTTTTCCAAGAATAGTATCATAATAAAGACTCTAACTGACAATGTTTATAATTAATCTTATTGATAGAATTGCACTGAATTTTTATCGTTAGTTAACATTATAAGTACCAGAAGGGGTTTTGTGGAGATTGTAGTAATTTAAACAGTTGAGATCATGAGTCAATTGAAGTTCGACCACCATGGAAAACCTGGAAGCACTGGACGGCCGTCTCGTCCTATTGTGGGACTCCTCAGCAGTGCGCATCCACTACCTCGCCTCGCGGGGTTCGAACCCAGAACCTCTCAGTCTCGCGCCAAGCACTTAACCAACTAGACCACTGAGCCACTTCTGATACTATTCAACATATGCTCACTAGTGACTGGCTTCAAGATATATATCCTGGAGCTCTAATGAGAAGCAGTGACCGGTGGAGTTCAACCGGATCAGTTGTGAGGTAGTAACTCACTGATGACAATGGTGGATGTGTCGCTCAATTTCGTGGATTAGTTGAAGTTAACATTAACAGCGTCGGATGCCGGCTCAGTGTTCCAGTTGGTTAAGCGCTTGGCACGAGTTTGGTGGGTCCTGCGTTCGGATCCCACGAGGCGGGGTCGTGGATGTGCACTGCTGAGGAGTCCCACAATAGGACGAGACGACCGTCCGGTGCTTCCGGGTTTTCCATGGTGATCTAGCTTCAATTGACTCATGATCTCAACTGTTTAAATTAACATTATAATCTTGTTCCTATCTTAGGATTTATTTCTATGAACAATCATTATATGAGGGTTATGAATTGAGCGGATCCCTTATTGAATGAATGCAAAAGTAATATTTACATTGTAAAAATGGTGACTATTTAAAAAAAAGCTTTAGAATTATCATTACATAAAATATAGTAGGGATTTAAGTAATATTTATATATCATCAAATCTATTCGGTAAAAGATGTGAATGATTTCAATCTGGATAAAA